CGGCCACCACGGTCATTCGAGTCCAGAAAATACTGGAAAGCTACTAGTGGGAGTCATGGTTGCTATAATACTCCCTGCCATGCCTAAGAGACATCCTTCCAAGGCAGTATCTTGAACACTTGGCACTTTTGGCGTCTGCCTTGTATATGCTCATGAAAACCCTTGTAACGAAGGAGGATGTAGATTAAAGGTACAGAGAAAATCATTAATTTGTTATGACTCAGCACCTCTACAGGGAGGCACAAATGACATCAAATATGCACACGTTGGCGCGTATGCCAAAAGGTGTGCTGCTTCATGGACCACTGTGGACGCTCTCTTGCTTCGAGTTTGAGAGCCATATAGGACATTTACTGAAGTTGGTGTCCTCAGCAAATGGCATCGCTTTTCAGATCTTGTCTCGTATTTTCCTCCATAACAACTTTCGTCAATTACTGTCAATGGCCTCAGAAGAAGTGAGAGAGCACTGCTCTCAAAAGACAATGAAGAAATGAAGAGGAACACAACACCAGAGCTCCTTGGCAAAGCCAAACAAGCACCTCAGGATGTTACACACCTGCTGCAACAGAACCTGGGGTTTGTGGACAGTTTTGAAGAGTACAATCGTTGCAGGTGTGTGGTTGTGTCATTCCCAGTGAGCAGTACATTAGCCCCTTGAAACGAGACTCGACAGCTGTGAAAGTTGGCGATGATTACGCAAAAGTGGAGCGTATATTTTGCGTTCAGGAGGCTGACAACGTGCAAGAGGTGTCCATCCTGTCTTATGTGAATCAAATCGACTGCTTTGAAAATGTTGGCCGCCTCAATAAAATGCGCAAGACTGGTGCAAGGCGATTTCACCTGCTCACTGAAGATGTGCAACCATGTGCGCATTTGGCGATGGATGACATTATTGTTTTTGCTCAGTTGTGTGATCGCAATGGCTGGTTTTAGATTGCTTATATTTGCTTATCTGCTTAAAGTAAATGATGCCTCATCTGTTGGTGCTTGCTGACAGATTCTACAATGTACAAATAAGTTTTGGTTGCTTCTAAATGATATTGGTTGTTTGTATCGTTGTCTCTTGTATTTTTCTCCAATATTTTATGAATGTTGTTCTCACGTAAGATGCTATTTATTGTTCTTATCTTAGCATTATGCATGGTCTAGCTATTATGCTGTACACTGTACCATATTATATCTGCAAGCTTGTTAGAATTTTGCAGTTCTGTTGGTCGCCCCTATGAGCGAACCTTAATTTTCATTTCTGGTAACATTTTTAAATGCATTTTTTTTGTGTTCCGTTCCTTGGTTTTTAGTTAAGTAATTTGCTTTTCCCACACCTAATACTTTTCATAGATATAAATACTTTTTATTTCATCAGCAAGTGGTCATAACTTTAGGTAAGCCAAATCAATTTGTGACCGAAGCTCACTGGGTGGTAATGTTTGGCGAGACTTGCAACCAGAAGCAAACTATCGAGCTCTCTATGGAAGCACTTCACGGTCTAAACTGTGAATACAATAAATACAATAGAAGTTGCTTTCTTGCTGGAGCCATGTTTTGCCGTGGTATATTGCTGCTGGGTGTGCGGCATGCATGGAAGCAACTTTCTGCAAATGTGAGTCTAGTGCATTGACGCTACTCATGGGCCAATCTTTAGCACTTGTTGGCCAGCGATAAATACCACTTGTAGTTTGAAGTTTTGCCACTTGCAACCCAAGTGGTACCATTTTCCCTAAAGTGGTACGACTTACAGGCCGAAGTGGTACTATCTGCCCTGAAGTCGTGCCAAGTCCATGCCCGAATTGTATTACTTGTCCTCAAGTGGGAGCACTTTCAGGCACAAGTGATACCACTTGCGGTCAAAGTGGTATTACTTGAAATATAATTTCTCTTGGGAGTTTCTTTATGTATCCCCGTAAGCATCCCGGACTAGCCACAATGCCTAAGAATCCAGATGAAATTTTCGCCTCTCGACGTTTACCGAAGATGAGGAAAGAAAGATCGATTGATTGATCTAATTCAATGCCATGTGATTGCCACATGATCTTCGGAAGAGACGCATCGACGAGCGGTCCGCATAGTCGCAAGCCTCGTTCGCAGCGTTGAATTAGCCGGGGCAGCGCGTAGCGTCTGCTGCGGTCCATCATAAGATCTGCATGATGACCAGGTTTCAGTTACAAGTCTGTCGAAACCACCCGCGTTTTTCCGCGTCACACGGTGATAACGCTCGGGAAAGCGGTTTGTTTCCATCGGCGTCCGAAAGTCTGCCGTCCGTGCGCAAGGCACACCCCACGATAAGCACGTCTGGAATTGGTCTGTCGCCCAGCAGACTTTGGCAGCGTGCAACCGATGCCAAGCCTCCGTGTTGACACACCGCGCTCTTCAATGACGTCGTCAGCGTTGCGACAGAGTATGGGGGAACAATCAGGATGAATGTGTTTTGTCCGTGTTTGTCTTGGAGAGAGAAACACGGACGTGCACGTGTTTGACCACCTCGCGTTTACTTGCTCGGCGACATCGGAGGACGTCCCCGTAGTATACCTCGTCGTCAAATCGGATAAAAGCACTCGAATGGTTGATGATCGTTTTGTTGGTTGTGAGGTCACCAATTATGGAAGACGTCACGGTTTGGCGGAACGATAACAACAACATTGCTCCTTTTCACCTTGCGACCTTGCTGGCACGCGGAAGTTGAGTGTTTTGTAGACTGAAAGTGGCAAGCTCGTATGGAAGAATTGTCGCTGGTTTTCTTCGTTTGTTTTGTCTACTAATAATTAAATTATGGCTCGGCGCAAGTACCTAGTGGCAAGCAATTCTTCTGGCATAGTATTACGCTTATTCTGGGACCGAATTTAATACTTCCTTAGATTTTCCTGGGACTGCATTTCCATTGTGGTCTCCAGAAGTCATAGTTAAACCATTTACGGCGTAACATAATCGGCAATTGAATACATTAGTTCTTCTACCGTGTTTATGCCTCTCGACCCGTAACTGCAGCTGCACTTCTTTTACAAGTTATTAGAACATTTGCAGCTGGACAACGTACATCCAGCGGTAACGTAAACTAGCACAGTAAAGGACTAGCCAGAATGGATAAAACGCTCCATGAGGTGCCGCCGGCATGTTAAGCTATGAAACCGACTGACACATTGCGCCAATTAGAAATGTGACAGTCTATTGTGACCTCTTTTTTGAACAGTGTGATTTTACCGTAATATTTTGTTCCCTCTCGGTCTGAAGGCCACTGGGCTAACTCAAATTGCAATAAATACCTTTTTCTGTTGAAGGATATGATATGGCTTGATTGTGAGATTGTATTGCAGTAAAACGTTTTAAAATAAAAAAAGTATTTTTCTACTGTACCCTAATTCTCAGTGATTCTCCTGATAGCATGTCCTATTTGTGTGTTGAATATTTGCGACAGGTTACAGCAAATATTCAGCGCTGAGTTATCGAAGTTGTCAAAATTACTGGTGATTATTTAAGTCATACATTTACGAAATATATAATCACAATCAAACTCATAAGCACGCACACGCGCTTACATTAATTTGAAGAAACCGCATCTTACCTTCCCCTCAAACAAGTAAAGATATATTTATATGTACAGCCTTGCTCACGCTTGAGGTTTGTGCTGTAAATTTCGCTGAAGTGCCCTGTTTCCTATGCGTTTCTTTGCATTTTCGATGAGCTTAGCGACACGTGTCTTCTAAACTATCACTAGTAGTGCACTTTAAGCAAATCAAACTCATTAATATGAACCCTGAATCTATTATCTATTTGTATTGAAATGAAGCAATAAACAACATATGGAACATCGTTGAACTTCGTATGGCTTTGCTACATATCCGGTTAGCACTTTTCAGGTTCCGTGTTCGTCAATTTCTAACTTAAGGTTGGTGCGTACTACGGTTCACAACATTGCACCATGCTGACCCCTCCCCCTTCCCCCCTTTTTTTTCTCTCTTGGTTGAGAGCACACACGTGTGCAATGTGTCCATAAACTTAACTGACCTGAGGAAAAATAAAACAATAGAACAGTTTAATTATGTTTTATAACGAGAAGCGTCGAATTGTGTGCAGATGTTCGGTGATTTATCGGCAGACCGATTGAAAGTTCGTGGGCCTCTCAACATTATCCGGAATATGTGAAAAGTCTACTGAGTGTGAAGAAAATTAAAGACCACAATATCTTCCAAATATGGCCCTTAGAAGTCCTGACGATATCCAGTAATTATAGTGATCAGGCCTCTCAACATTCAACATTGGAATTCACGCAGGATTTGTTTTTTTTTCATAAAATACAACGTGCATTGAAGCCTTTGCTTTCTGAGGAGCGTGACAAGCCGGGAGTTAACAGTGACAGTAGACTTGTTCACTCTGTCAATGTATCGCTATATTTCTTGCACCGGTCATCTCGTTTAGCCGATTTTAGCTTGCTTGGATGAACAGAAACCCAGTTCCGGGCCATTGTAGGAGTTCAATAATTTATCAGCACACTCATTCCAGGCAAGTCCGGCTCAAAATAGATCCAGTGACCAATCTCGTGCACCTACATTTTTGTCGTGGCCGTGTTGCGATAGAAAATACGTGTAAGGTGAGAATGAATGCAAACTTCCAAAAGCAAGACTGCGCACCTTAAAAAATAGAGCAAGGCTGTACAAAGATGAAAGGTACTAAGCTAGTTCTTCGATAAACTTTGGCAACCTTTGAAGCTATCTGGCCTTGGTGTACGGACAATGCAACTCGAAAACACTTTGTCTGAGATGTAAGATTGTAAAGAAGCTGACATACAACTTTTATTTTTGTATTTTCCTCTGTTCAGTGCGTCCACTGTCTGAAGTCGGGTTTGAACGGGATCGCCAAATAACCGGCAACGTACGAGCGGCCTTGTGTGACGCGCGTGGAGCACGCGATTCGCGAGGAGAGAGCGCTAACGACTCGCGTGAAGCCGACGTCACGACCACCACCACAAGGTCGCCCGCACGGCCTCCCTCCCAGCCGGCCATCGGCCGCCCCCTTAATCGGCAGACACGAGAGCATCACGCTAGCTGTCGTCGTCGGTGTGCCCTTGAGGCGACGCTGCCTGTTGCTATCCGGCAATTGGTAACCGACGTTGATAGCGGTGCGAGCTTTGGCAACGTGGCTTCACGCTCGGGGTCTTTATCGCGGGTGCAGCTCTCCCGTCGGAGGTACATCGGCCCGCCAGACGCCCCGACGGATGCCATCGAGCGTCGGCAGGAGGACTACGTGACGGCAGAAATCTCGCATCGCTTGTCTTCAAGGAGAGCCAGAGGTTGACCCGATTCCGCTTGCTCCTTCAAAGATGCCGTAAGTTGTCCGATGTCGCCTATCCTCTGCTGGGGTTTTTCAGAGTTCTACTTTGAAAACGTATCGTCCAATTAAGAGAGACATATTTTCGTATGATATGCCTAATAAACATACCATTACTTTTGCAGGTTATATAAGCCGTGCACAGGACCTTATACCGACTTATATATTATTTTATATTTGATGAACGAATTTATACTGTTTCGTTTTCACAGGGGCATTTAACGCACTATCAGTCGCTCATCACAGAAAGTAATTAAAGGAGACTGGGGAGACAACATAACAACTGAAGAATTCGATGCGTGCATGAATCGCCCTTGAGTTTTCTTCCGGTGTCTTGTAGATGCCCAATGTAAATCTTTCATAAGCGGAGAAGTTATGACGTCTAGGTAAATGGGGAACTTAAATCGCCCACATCAGTAGGAAAACCAATATGCTCTGTACTTGAAACAAAATATGTTTTGAACCGGTTCTATTGCCATCCGTGGTTCAAACGTTGTTTTCTTGAAGAAAGGTAAAAAACACAGGCGAGCTGGTGAATGGTATCCATAATAACCCTGAGACGAAGGAAAAATGAAAAAAAAAAAACGGAGAGTACAACGAAGTCTTCGTTGTACTGTCCGTTTTTTTTATTTTTCCTTCGTCTCAGGGTTATTATGGTTGTTTTCTTGTTTGTCAAAGATATTAAAGTATATTTTTTTATAAGATGCTACCGGTCGTTCAAGTACCTTACAGGAGGCAGTTTAAAGAGCATGCGAAATAATCCTTTAGAGAAAAATAATTCTTTAGCTCTTGAAGAATTCTTCCTCTTCGACAAATTACTCCACGGCTACACGTTTTTTTTTAAGCACTAGTCCGTGAGTTAATAATCTATGTACCCAATCTTCTAAGCGTTCGCGCTCACCCTCTCACATAGCTTCTCTGTTGTATACAAGAATATAAACAAGTCTAGACAGTCGAATGGCGGATCTTTTTGAAAGTTTTTTTTTTACTCAGAGGCAAGTGCAACGGTTTGCAGGCCGCGAAAACGAGGCCTGATGTCAATACAAGCCTGTCGTCAGAGTTTATATAAAATATTGTGCTATTTCATTTACTAAGCAGTTTCTTACTTACCTTTGTATAATGATGTATGCAGTGTTTTGTTGACTGCCTGGACCCACACACAAGCATTTTTGTTTTCGCGGGCCAGTACGCCATCTTGTGTGTTTTGCTTTTCAGTAAATAAAGCATTATTATTAATATTATCATTATTACTACTTCGCGGCACGGAGGCCTCGTCGTACAATTCGGTCTTTTGTCTTGACGCCGCAGACATTATGCATTGTCTAAAAAGGTTGAAAAAAAAAAAAAAAACAAAAAAAAACGTTTTTTGCAGTAAGGCATGTTCGCAGACATTGTTGTTTTGTTGCCCGTCGTTGTCGCTCTAGAGCAAAGAAGATAGCTGTTAAGGTGTATTTGTGCAACAAACACTGATAACAATGTTCGTTGTTTCTCACTCAGGTCGGATGGGTGTTTAAGAGCGTACCGCGGGGCGTCCCCTTAGTTTTAACTTTATTTCGTCTAGGATTTCGCCTTATCTTAATTGACGCCAGTCGAGTTCTACGAGTCATGCCAGGAAGGGAAACTACAGACTGTATCTGTTGTACAGGCTTCACTCATTATTAGACCCATCTTATTTTAGACGGGGGTGATTTTTTATAGCAATGACCTCAGTGTAAAGTCTACATGCGGCAATCGGACGATGTGACCAGTTCATTTTACGAGTGCTCAGAATCGTCACATCTCTAGCACTCTAGGTCAAACTGTCTGAGCTATAGAATATATTTGTGCCTAGGTAGCTCCCCGACTTGCGACACAGTGCGGCGTCTTAGGAGCTGCTATTATAATTGAGAAAATATGCATGGAAACAAAAAAATCATTTAGCGTGATAAAAGAAATGCGACCAAAAAAAAAATATTCATCCGGTTTGACGTAAGGCAAGAGGTAGCTGTAACTTTCCCATTTAACAATCGGAAAATGTACATTTTCCCATTATTGAATGTGGAGCTATGTAAGAACTTTTTTGCCACACAAACTTTTCATGATAAGAATATATAGCGGCCAGTGATCTTTTTTTAACTTTGTGAACTCACAAAGAAAAGTAACTGCCAGACGACAAAGCCAGTTCTGTATCTTATCAGGTCCATGCGCCTTCGCTAGCGCTTAATTGATGAATCTTACTCATTGTTCTGGATATCGGCTATTTTCTGCCTTCGGTGGTTCTCAAATCGTTGTACGAACTACACAATCACTGATTGCTGACTCAGCTGCAATCATCGATTGTGGCGAAGAGTGATAGTAGTATTTTCGCAAAATATTTACACTTTGTTTTACTCGCACTGTTATATACTATATATGAATAACAGCAAGCTATAATTGAACGTTACAAACCTCTATTTCGAGGGGGCGATGAGGCAAGGGTTTTCACGAAACTGACCTATCCCAGGAACAGAAAAATCACTTGGTAAATATATTTTTTTTTCTGACTGAACAGAACTGAAGAGAGCAGAAATACTTTGTCATGATCTATCCAATATACTGAGAACTTGACCTTGCTATCGTTGCAGAGCCCACGAGGTTCGGAGTTCCGCACCACCTCCTCCCCACACGGAGGTGTCCTACAAAAAAGTGGACCTTTTCAACGTCCAGGGCCTTCTACTACAGCAGGACAGCTTCGATCGTGACAAGATCCGCAAGGTCCTCTGGTTCAAGCCTTTGCCTGGCGACATCTTCGTCGGTTCCTATCCGCGCTCCTGCTCCACCCTGGCGCAGTACATAATCTGGTCGCTCTTCCACGAAGGCAAACCGCTGCCAGACTTCCACACCCTCCTCACCAAAGAGTTTCCTTGCATCGAGGTCGTTGACGCGGACACAGTGAGCCCCAGGAATGGCTCGCCACGCCTCGTCAAGCACCACCTCCCCCAGGCCTTCTCGCCCTCGGGAGCCGACGGCAAGCACGTCGTGGTGCTGCGGAACCCCTTCGACGTCTGCGCCTCCAACTATGTACATCTTGGCAAGGGTTACGAGGGAAAATTCTCGGACTTTTTCGAGTGCTTTACGCGGGGTGAGGTGGCCTTTGGAGACTACTTCGACCACGTGCTGTCCTGGTACGAGCGGAGGGAGGATCCCAATGTCCTACTGCTTTGTTACGAGGAAATGCGTAAAGATCCAATCGAAAGCGTGCGCAAGGTGGCGGAGTTTGTGGGCGTGGAAGCCAGTGAAGACCGACTGGTTCAGGTGGCCCGTGACACTGGACTAGAGGTGACGGTGGCAGGCAGGAGTCATCTGGAAGAAGAGGTGGTTAAGGGAACGGTGGGCTGCTTCAAGGAGTTCTTCTCTGAGGACCAGCATCGGATCCTTGCAGACATAATCCGGGAAAGATTCGCCGGTACAGATCTACTTCGAGTCTGGGCAGAGTTTCTCTGACTGCCCAAAGAGATAGTTCCTTCCTTAAGGCTCTGCGCGGTGGCTTCGTCTTCGCTCCTTCGGCCTTCGCTGGCGACCAAGGGTGTGACAAATATGTTTGTGAAGTAGACCGATGTCCAATTCTTGCTTGTTACGTATACTTGGCATAAGAAGTACGTGATACCATTGCGGGATCGTTGTTTTCGAATTTTTCCCATCAAGTTTGTTGCAGAGCGAAGGCTGATTACCAGCACGGTGCCGTTTAAAAGTGCCATTTGAACTCGGTGGACCTTGCACAACCGATTGAATATTAACTAAAACATGGCAGACATCCAGCTCACATCTGGCGGCTAAACTCATCCTGCACACAGGAATATTCTCCGCTACAGGCATCCTTGTGTGCAACGCACAGAAAGCACGTTCCATACCACGGCGCTGCTTTTTGCCTTAAACGTGTTAAATTTTCCGGTGCTCACGCTGTTTTGGGTCAGCACCTAGGTTTGTGTGTTTTTGTATATATGGTGTATGCCTATTAAACTGCATTGTTTTTTCTTCGGTGTCACTTAATTCAGGCATTTTTAAATTGGTCACAAAATGTTCATGGGGAATACAGTCAACCCTCGATGTAACGAAGTTGGTAAAATTCGGAATTTACTTCGTTACATTGAAATTTCGCTACATAGAAATTCGAGGCTAACGCCCAAATGTTTCTCCGGTGCACAAAAGACACCAAGGACGCCTCTATTTCGGTTGAAAGTAGTCCGTCACCTTTTTCTGGGCTACTCTTGGCATTATTATTGGCATCACACGACGTTCGCATAGCCAGACGGCATGCATCGCGTCTTCGTCTTACAGTGCGATCGCGAACCGCCACAAGACATCGATCGCGTCCACCACCTCGCGGTTACTGGGCACATAGCAGGTGTCTTGCTCATCAGGATGTCGTCCCCGTTTTGCGAGTTCCCACGAACATCGCTAGCTATCGCCTCGTCGGTCACCTCCTCCGTTGCAATGACAGCAGAGTCGGCATATAGAAAGTCGTCCAGGTGGACGTTGTCACAAGCGGCTCCATCACCTTCAAGGCTCCATCGCCCAGGACAGTGAGCAACGCATGCGTTTAATGAGGCCTCGAAACAAACTACGCAGCGCGAACGAAGCCGACGGACGAAACGGCGGCGGCTCTAGTGTCCTCTAGTAGCCGTTCTGTACTCCACACTCGCCAAATTCGGCCCGTTTCACACTTTGCGCTTTATCGGAAGCCCGTTTCAGCGCATGTGCTTCCCAAAATTTCCTTTGGGACCTAGAAGTTTGTGACAAATTTCCAATGAAATTTCGTTACATTGAAACTTCGGCTAATGGGACTTCGTTACTTGGAAGTCACAAATACGTGGCGTGCATACACTTGCGGTTAGAAAAAAGTTATGTACTTTGTTATATCGGGGGTTTCGTTACAGAGAAGTTTGTTACAACGAGGTTTGACTGTATCTACAAAAAGAGTCAACAAATTTCTTCAAAGTTACTGGAGGCCCCGGGAAAGGTAAGACAGTTCTGTGACGCGTTTCTAGTCCTGAATTGTGGGCGGGATTTGAATGGTGATGATCAGGCAGCACTTTTGTTTAGAGGGCTCGAAAAATGTTTATGGTGAAACTTCTGAACTTTTGAGAAAAGATGTCAAAATCAATTTACCGTTGAACACAATAGACTGAAGTGTTATATCTACGATTAACTCAGTCTCGGAGTTTAGGGTCTTGCCAAAACCGGTTCTTTAGCATTTCAAGTCAATAGTCAAGCGCCAGGCTGATCAGGTATCGAGGTTTCAATCGTCGGTGAAAGGCTAAGAGTACAGGAAAAGTTCATCCCGCAAAGCCGTCCACTCTTTCCACTTTCGCAGAGCAAACGCTGGACAAGCAAGGAGAAACACGCCTGGTGTATTGGTGGCCGAGTTGTTTAGCGCACACTAAAGTCACTGGATCCTGGGAAAGTAGCGCCATTGCCTTCCCTACCCTAGCCGGGCACAAACGGATATTAACATACACACGACCCAAACCTCGCAAGGCGATTGGCTAATTGGTTTAGGTTGCCATGGAAATCGCCATTTTGGTCCATTTAAATCTTCGAAGCCTCCAGGGGGTCGTTCTAAAACAGTCGCGCCAAGATCACCATGGAGCATCATCGTACTGGAAGCGTTCCCCACCAATTTAAGAGTCTTTGGCACTTCGTATGCGATCAACTTATTAATCATGCATATCTCCATGGATCTCTTACTTTTGTATTGTTCATCTTGCCTATTTCAAGACAGTAAACTTATTTTTCAGTGCCTCCAAGCACCGGCCCAGCATGTGGTGGTGGTACAAATATGTGCGCTTGTTTCGCCGGTGTGTGGATAACAAACTCTCGGTATACAATAAACGCCTCCATAAAGCTACCCGTCACCAGCGAATTTAGATCGGCTCACCAAGAACGAAGTGGTCAAAGAGAAATTGCTCATTTCACGGACCAAGATGGCGACCAGACGGGGAGCTTGGCGTTACTTTCCCAGGATCCAGTGACTTTAGCGCACACCAGCTCGGGGCACGTGGAGCGAAAGCTCGCGCCGTAGAACCCAGGGATCCTGGGTTCATTCTTCACCCCTGCCCGTTTCGATCTCGATGAGCATCGTACCGGCGTCCGGTCGTGCATCACTACTGCGTGATGCACGTTAAAGACTCCAGGCTAGTGGTTGTACCGCGCTTTCTAAATCGCTCATCTACAGTTAAGAGACAAGTTGCTCGGTGCAGGCAGCCTAGGCTGTATAAACATACCCACAAACCATTTTTTTTAAGAAGCTCGCCTCCTCTTTAGCGTTTGTTCTGTTATGGTGGAGAGTGGAGCACTCTAAAAAAAAAGGGTGTCATGGGGTACACCCATAGGGGGTGTAAGTGCTTGTCACATATACTACACCCTTTGGGGGAATACAAGTGCACCCCAAATATGGGAGTTCGTGTGCACCCATTGGTGTGGTGCACATGTACACCTTTTTCTACAGAAATCTCATTCGAAGGGAACACAGGTGCACCCCATTCACTGGTGTACGGCTACACCTCTTTCTACACCCAATGAAACGAAAGGGAAAGCAGATGCACCCCATTCGATGGTGTACCATTGCACCGCTTCATACACCCGCCTCACTCAAAGGGAACACAGAGGCACCCTGCTCAATAGTGTACCATTACTCCCCTTTCTACACCTACTGCTCTCAAAGGGAACACAGGAGCACCCCGTTCAATAGTGTACTGTTACACCTCTTTCTACACTCACTGAATTCGGAGAGAACACAGATGCACCCGATTCAAAGGTGCATGGTCACACCACTTTATGCACCCATTTCATGACTTCATAAACCTATTTAAGACATCAAGGAAAACAGTAAAAAATGTGTGGGCCCCGGTGATTGCAAAAAGGCAGGTAAACGGACACACGGTATTGTTTTCAAATATCATAGAAGTTTATTAGACAGCCTATTCCGTAAACAGGTACAAACTTGCAAGCAATCCGTGATATCTGAAGACGTACAAAGAAGCTGTTGCACAACTGAAATGATTACTAAACCAACAAGAACCGGAGTGAGTCTTAGGTAGTGTCCAATCTGCCAGCAGCCGGTAGAATTATTTCCACAAAATTCCACCGGCAGTCGCCTTTAATTCATCGAACGACATTTTATCGACAGCTCAGATTAGCTTCTCTCCTTATTTTTTCTTGTAATGAGCCGCCCCAGGATGTATCCGCGAAATGACGTGTATGGGTGGGACAGGTGGGTTAACATTTTTGTAATGAGCCGCCGCAGACTGTCGCCACGAAGTGGCGCGAACGGTTGGGCTGGGTCGGTGAGCACGCGCCTCAGAGATACACGCGCGACAAAATGTCCCTACAGCGTGCATTTTGCGTAACGAGTGACGATGGAACGTTGGTGTCGATGAAACGTGTCTACAAAACGTGTATCGACAAAAACGTGTTTTCACAAAACGCCAGGAGAATAAGAAAGTCAGTATTCCACATGCAGTCGTCGCATGATTGTAGACAGCTAATGGCAGGTGATTGCCTATAGAATTTCGGGGAAATTATTCTCCAGGCTGCTAGAAAATAGACACTGCCTAATTCTAGAGGTAATCCGGAACAAAGCGGTCAATTGTTGCAAAGGAGTAGGTTGCAGTGCACTTACGATGAAAATACCGGACTTGAGTTATGTAATCCGGTATATATGTCGACACGGGCACTGCAGAACCACACAAACACAAAAACGAAAAGAAAGGGGTCCGTGAAGATTCAACACGATGTGGCAGAAGCAGTAATTTGCCGAACCGAACACCGAACACATCACATGAATTCCTTGGGCTTTTTTGAAAAAATCCCCTGTTGCCGATATACGCGTAGGACTTTTCAAACATTGGAAATCTTGGTACACTCGAATACGTTGTCGCGGGCGAAATCTACGGCAGCCCCGCTGGTCGCAGCACAGCACACAAGCAACTACCTATGCCGGGAAGCAGACATTCCGAGGTCGAAAAAAGCTACTACGTCATCCGTGAATCCTTTACCACATGATCACGCTCCTGCCGTTATCCGCGCTCAGACAGAGAAGTCGAGGCATAAAAAAAGCCTCCGCTTCATTGGTCCGGCAACTGCGCGCCTTCTTCCACGCTTTCAGCTTAGGGAGAGAAAGAAAAAGAAATGAGTCTGAAAATTGCAGCTCCTTCAAGGCCAAAAGGTATAATGAAGATAAGCCTCGCAAAGGCTTATCTTCAGGGGCAACCCAACAATGAAAGGATTTGTCGCTTATATCCTCTTGAAAGTTCGACCCAAAGTTAATAGTGCAGTGGATGCTATCCGTGGCCTTGGCCTTCAGGCAGGTGCCGTGCTCTGCCTTATCTCTAGCTTGGAGACTGTAGTCACGTGATCCTACCCGGAGACCCGATTGGCCTAAAACAAGCATAGCGTCCACTCTACTGTCAATACCGAGGGAACAGGATAGCTCCATACTTCCTAAGAAACTGCCCAACCCAAAAAGTGACCTCCACGGGGGAATCCAAGCACAAGCTGATCGGGGCGCGTGGCTAGCGTTGCGGTGCATTGGTACACCCAGATGTTTTTAAGGGAGAGGGGGATGCTCATTGTCGGTGTACAAGCACACTGGCTGCGCAACGGAGGGTGCGTCTTTCAGGCAAAGGGTGCATGAGCGCCTGATGCACCCGCCTACACCCTTTTTTTCTTAGAGTGAGGGATTTGCGTGAGGAGCTCGTCCTGCACTCTTAACCTGTCACCCACTAATAGTAAACTTTTAAATTTAAATATTGCGGCACGTTATGTTCTACTCTTCCGCTCCGCTATCACATTATGAATAAAAGAGCGCAAAACAACAAGGAAGGAAGGACGAGGTAGACAGGAAGGGCGCTAAACTGACAACTGACGTTTAATACAGTCTGTAAAGGAGGAAAAGAAAGAAGATTCTCATGTTATCGCTTAAAAAAATGAAAAGTGCAGCCTCAAATTTATACGTAAACATATAAAATAAAATG